GGGATCATGCTTTTATTTATTGATCTAAATTATTTTATTGACCGACCAATTTTTTATTAATTTCCGAATATTACAGATTTTTCCTTCTATCCGGAAAATATTTATTCGTTGAAGAACGCTGCTTCGAATTCAAATCCATTTTTAAATAATTCCTCCAAATTCACCACGTTTAAAACATGAAGTTAAAAAAAGTATCTAATCGAGTGCTTGGGAACTTTTACAACATTTAAATCTTTAGATAATAATAATAATAATAATAATAATAATAATAATAATAATACCCACTCACTGAATATAAAACCCGGCATGACAGAGTGAGCCAATATCTGCACTGGGAAATCTGCAACTTTTACGGGAAGGAAACTGAAAGAAACTGGTATGAACACCACCCAGACCCGGTTACGGAGATAGGACCTGTTACAATTCTATGGGACTACACAATACACACTGACAGAACAATCAAAGCCAACCGCCCAGACATTGTTATTAAAGACCACAAACAAAAAAGTGCCTCCTTATTGATATGACAGTCCCTACTGACTGCAATGTATATTTGAAGATATTCAAAAAGCTGTCAAAATACAAACAGAAATGAAATAGAAATCTCAAAAATGTGGCATATGGGAACATCAACATTCCCTGTTGTAGTTGGAGCCCTAAGACTGGTTGGAAAAGATTGCAGTAGACTAATTGAAGGGATTCCTGGAAGTCCATGCCTCAAGGAGATACAAAAAATTGGTCTGACAAGTACAGCCCACACTTTACGAAGGGCTTTACCTATGTAATTTTTTTTTTTTTTTTTTTGTCAGTGGAAAGTGTCATGATGCCATTTCTAACGTTAGGTCCCTGGAAAATAAATATAATAATAATAATAATAATAATCGCCAAAGATATAGCAAGGTAACAATATATATGCACTGGAAGATATGCAAGAAGCACAAAATCGAAGCCACTAAGAGATGGTATGATCATCAACCAGACACAGTTAAGCAAAATAACGATGTAACTAGCATCTGGAACATGTCAGTTCAAACTGACAAGGAAATAAAAGCCAACCGACCCGATATTATCATAAAAAACAAGAGATTCAAGAAGTGTATGCTTATTGACATAGCAGTATCATTTATCGGAACCTATTTCCAATCAAACTCATGGTCCAACCACGACTGGAATTATTGATGACCTAATGTGCCATATTTTTAGATTTCAACTTCAAAATCCTTGCATTTTGATAGTTTTTTTTTTTAAGATCTTCAAAGAAACATTGCAATCTGCAGGAAGTGCCATGTCAGTAAGAAAGCCCATTCTGTTCTTTTGGTCTTTGATCACGATGCATAGACGATTAACATCGATTGATTTCTCAGTGTGTATTGTAAAGTCCCTTAAAATTGTTAATGTTCCCATCTCTGTAACGGAGGTAGGTGATATTCATACCATTTTCTTACGGTAAAAATTGGAGATATTCCAGTGTAGATATTTGTCCATTTCGTCATACCGTGTTTTATATTCGGTCGATGCTAATAACAAGATGATCACTTGTTACTCAATATTCATTACAGAATTTGCATTTCACATTAACACAATTATTATTATTATTATTATTATTATTTTCTTTGATTTCTGGCGTTTACACATTTCTTTCCGGGTCCCGCCCAGGGACCTAAGGTTAGAAATGGCATCATGACTCTTTCCACTGACAAAAAAAAAAAAAATAATAATTACATAGATAAGGCCCTTCGTAAAGTGTGGGCTGTACTTGTCAGAACATTTTTTGTATCTCCTTGAAGCATGGACTTCCAGGAATCCCTTCAATTAGTCTACTGCAATCTTTTCCAACCAGTCCTAGGGCTCCAACTACAACAGGGATTGTTGATGTTCCCATTATTATTATTATTATTATTATTATTATTATTATTATTATTTGTGTATTTTATGTTTTGTGCTTTGTATCCTGCAGAGCCGGGTCCAAACTATGGCGAATTGTCATTTAATTGATAAAATGTTTCTTAGTATATGGGTTGTTCCTAGTAGGGCAATTCTCTGGGCAGCTTTTATGTTAATGTTACCTGGGTCACTGTTAGTAAAACTGTCCATTCTTTTTCTCAAGACGCCCATGGCTTGAATTACTATTCGTATAGTTTCAGTCTTCATTCTCCACATGTTAATCTCGATCTCCAAGTCCTTATATTTGGACAATTTCCCGATAATTTTCATGGAGGATTTTCTCTCAGATGGAATGGCGATGTCAATAAGCATACACTTCTTGAATTTCTTGTCTTTTTTGATAATATCATGTCTGTTGGCTTTTATTTCCCTGTTAATTTGAATTGGCAAGTACCAGAGTATAGTGCCATCGTCAATTTGGGTAACTGTGTCTGGTTGGTGTTCACATCATCTCTCAGTGGATTTGATTTTGTGCATATCTTCCAGTGCATGTAGTGATTTTCCAAGCGTAGCTTAGATATAGCACAAAGCTGAAGTATGGGGTACCAAGTGAGGTTCGAACTCACTACTAAGACGTAATTGTTCTAACGAAACAACCTTGCTAACCATTACACCATCTTGAGGGGCTCAAAATATAGTGATTTACCAAACGTAGCTTTGGTATGCCACAAGTCTGAAAGTATGGGGCACTCAGTGAGGATCGAACTCACTATTCAGTCGTAACTGTTTTAACGAAACTAGCTTACTAGATATTACACCACGTCGAGGTACCCTTCCAGTGCAATATATGTCGCTACCTTGTTAGATCTCTGGGTATATTCATTTTTGCCAATTCCGAACATCCTTTGATGGTGGACAGTTTTATTATATTTTCCGCAGATCCTGCATTTCGATTTAGTTCCATTCTTGATTATTTGACAGTGATAGTATCTGTTTGCGATGTTTTGGTCCTGAGCTGCAATAATTAGGCCTTCTGTCTCAGCTATCATCCCGGTGCTTCTCAGCCATTGATGTGTTTTCTGTTGGTCCACATCTGCTTCTTTCGTTCTTTTTATGTATTTAACCTGAAACAACTTGTCTTCCAAACTTTTTTTTTGTATTTTCATTTAGCCAAGTTCTTTTGCTTTCTGTTTTACTCGTTTGGTGTAGATGGTATTCGCTTCTTTTTGTGTTGATAGGATTTCAGATATATTAAAATGTTTCTTGATTGTTTGTTTTGTGGATGAAGTGGATTTGGTGTTTTACTATTTGTTGGAGAGAGTCATTGTTTTTTGTGCTTCTAATCCGATTGTTGTATTTTTTTAGATTTAGCGCAAATTGACTTAGACCTCAGCCTCCTAAAGCTCTTGGTACATACAACATATCAACATCTGATTTCGGGTGGTGTATCCTCATTGGGTAAGCATTTTTCTGGTCTTGGCGTCCAACCTTTTAATTTCATTCAACTTCCATTTAATAATGTAAAAGCTGTATATTACTTCGAGTCTAGCTAAGGTTTTGCTAGCCTTTATTTTATTGGCCGCCATTAAGTTCGCTTTCTAGTATCAAACGTACTCTCCCATAATATTCTTTTCGAATCATTTTCTTCATAATTTTTCTTCTTCTTCTTTATTATTATTACGAGCAGCATGGCCCGGCGTTGCCCGGGCTTGATTCAAAAATTGCACGACTCATACAGCAATCGCTATCATTTGACTTAAAAAATTTTAACCTTCCTTTACCTTTAAGGAGCGCTCTTTGCCGTGCTGATGTTGCTACATGCCTTACTTCTTGCCTATCTCACACTGCGAATTTTTTCTAAGCTCCATACTAAACATTAAATCTGTTACGAAAAAAGAACTAAACAAAATGAACACAAAACGATCAGCTTTAAAAAGGGACTCGTAACAGGAAAAACCGAATGAAAAAAGAATGTTAACAACAAAT